TATAAATAATATAAACAGAGAAATAAGTATATAAAAATACGATAGATAAATAACATAATAATAAAAGAATATAAATAATAAAAATAATTAAATATGATTCATCAAATAATCTATTTCATTAATATTTCATACAAAATGAATACAAATGATTATAAAATATAAACATAAATATTTACAATTCCTGTATTTATCATACTTTTTATTTATTTTAGGAGCATAATATAATAAATGGAAAATTCTATGGATGCAAATTATTTTGCATCTTTTTTCTTTTTTGTAAATTATTTAGATTCATTTTTCTTTGCTAATTTTCGTACCCATCTTCAGATATTCAGCATCAGCTGTAAATTGGAAAGTCACTGACCTAGATAAAATGGATTTGGAGATAAGAAAATATTTAAGAAAGGCAAAATACATTGTTGAAACTCCAAAGATAGGTTGTATGTCACTCTAGAAGAAATGAAGGATTAATAAATATAAAGGGACGAATATGTTATTGAATTAATAAGGACAGTTATAAAAATATAATATAATTATAATATAATTTTAAAATAACAAAATCAAGAGAAGAACGTTGTTTTATTTAGATCTTCATTGGAGTGACTTATTAGTAATGAATAAAATCAATGAACTAACAACATTACTTGAAGAGGTATTGCCTACGAATTATCATATACCATCTAGAAACCAAATATTGGTTAGAGCAATTAATAATATTAAACGATATGAAATTGTGTGTTTTTTGATTATTCTTGTAGTTCAATTATTGTTTTTGTTAATTGATAAAGAATTATTACTACCAACTTTTATTATATTGGTTATTCCATTCTTTGCATTATTTGTTAATCCTTATTTAAAAATCTTCTATTGTCAAACTTCTTTATATCCAACTTTAATGCTTCTTGCAATAATGGTTTCTTTTTATTATAAATGTATAGGAATGTTTTCAGTAGATATTTCTTTATCATGGATATTAATTTTTATTCATACCATTTTTTTAATATTGAGTAACACTTTTCTTAAACACAAAAGAATGATTCATTCTTACTTAGATAATTTTAAATATTTTGTTTTTTTTAATATAATTAATTTTAATTTATTTATAATAAAATATATAATTAGGGTTTTTTAAAAGAGATCTCCAATTTTTTATAAATTTAGAAGACAATGTCATTTAGAGGTGGACGAGGTGGAAATAGAGGAAGAGGAAGAGCTTCTTTCGGTGGACGTGATCAACAACCAAGTGGAGAGCTTGTTCCTTATGGTAAATTCTTACATGCTGCTGAAACTGTTATGGTTTTTAAAGCAACATCAACTACACAATACCCAGCCTTTAATGCTATTGTCTACAACGAAAAGAAAGCTGAAGTAGGAAAAGTTGGAGAAGTATTTGGACCATTAAATGATTATTACTTCAGTGTTGTTCCAGTTGAAGGAGTTAAACCTGATTCATATAATGTTGATGATCAAATTTACTTGTATACTGATAAACTTTTCTCTGTTGATCGTTTGAAGAATCCACCAGCACCAGTTAAACGTGGAGGTGCTAAGGGTGGAGCAAAAGGAGGAGCTAATAATAGAGGATCTCGTGGAGGAAATAGAGGTGGATCTCGCGGAGGATTTAATAATAGAGGTGCACGTGGAGGAAATAAAGGAAGCTTTGGAGGAAACAGAGGTGGTTTTGGAGGAAACAAAGGACCAAGAAATCATTAGATATGAATGACTGTTTTATCTATTCTTTTTCTTTTTTGAAGTTAAGTTGGTAAATGGTTTTGTTTTTTGGCAATAACCTCACCATCGCTTACTTCTACAATTTTATAATAATAGTAAAATAATATAATGATGTTTATTTCAATAAATGATAAAAATATATTTTGAAATGTTTTATTGGTAAATAATTAATTTGTTTAAATTCCTATAATTTTATATAGAAATACAAATTGAATAATATAAAGTATTATATTTTGAACGCTTTTTTAGTTAAGTATTTATTTAAGATAATATCTTAATTTAATTGTTAATATCTTCAATAAAACATTTTGTATAAATGAAACTATGTATTTAAGCAATCAATAATAATAAGTAATTAAATAATAATAGAATTAATTTCTATTAGTTTCTTTATTCATCAGAGACTAATCACATCCCTTCGTCTTCTTCTAGTATTTTTACAGAGTATGTTTGGTTGTGGTTGAAGCAATATTCCATGACATCCATCATGTTTTTTATGATATGGTTTTTAACTTCTTTCTCGATGTCAATTTCAATTTTTAATTCTTTAATTAATCTATTACTTGAATTATTTATTAATCCATTTATTGAAATTACTACTGGATTTATTTTGACATCTTTTATTTTTTCTATTTTCATTAGCATATTCTTTAATTCTTTATACTTATTTCTTTTCTTCCAATATTCTCCATTAATATTGTGATCAGCCACAATAGTCATATCAAATATTAGACCAGTTTTATTCTTTTTATCTAATACATATATATCTGGTATTTTGTGATATTGTCATTCACTTTTATGCATTATTTGTTTGTTCAATATCATTGTAATGTCTTTATATTGTAACACTGTTTCATATTTTATTTATATTGATTATTTCATGTATATTTTCTTATCAATCCCTCCAATATTGAAACTTTGTGTTTAAAGTAAGTAAAATACAAAATACAATTGACAATTAATTTTATTATTCCTTTTATCTTTCTTTCTTTTTTAATATTATGATAAAAATTAAAAATATAAATGCTAATAAAATTGTCATTTATTCATTAATGGATATTAATTACATCATACATCATTAAAATAAATAATTTTATATGTTTTATTTATTATTTAGACTTTATTCTTGTTTTGTGAATAAATCATTTCTTTTTGTTTTATTGTTTTTTCATTCTTCTTTTTATTTTTCATCATTTTAGTTATTATCATTTAAATATCATTTCTTTATTTCTTATTTTATGAATGAATATTTCATTATTATTATATTATTATTTATAATTTCATTTATTATTAATACCTTCATTTATATCTTTTTCTTTTGTTATTATTCTTTCATACTATTTGATATATTTCATTATTTGATTTTGTATTAATATTTGTGTGTGTTTATAACGTGACGTCTTCAAACCAGAACAACTAACATTATCAAAAATATTTAAACAAATATTATTGACTTATATTATAAATTAGTTTGACTATCTGAACTTTTTGGATCAATTGGGTTCAACTTATCTTCTATAGGAAATGGTAGATACAGTTGACAATTCCACAAACGTAATTCTCCACATGCGTCATAATATCCTGCATACCCATTAATTTGGGTTATTGTTGGAGTTTTAGTTATTAAGTTTTCAAGACCCATGCCATTCATAATTATATTAGGAGGAACAGTTTTTTGTGAAATTATTATTGTGTGCGTTTTAGGTGGTGGGTTTGGAATCAAACATTTAAGAACTTCTTTTAACCAGTTTCCACAATTTGTTGTAATAAAACGTCTATTATAATTTTTACCATTAATATTGACACTATTAATTATAGTATTAGGTGGTTTATTTTCATTCTTTGCTTTTTTTGATGACTTTGTTAATATATAAATTTTTTCTTTTTTAGCCTCTTCTTTACACCACTCTACAACCTCATTCATAATATTATCATGAATATACTTACGTAAAGTCCTTCTAAAATATTTGTGATTAATTGATTTATCTATCATTGGGATTACTTGTTTTTGAATTTCTTCTGCAGACAAAATTTTTCCATTAACCTCTACCGAACAAAAGTCTATTTGATTTCTTTTGTCAATATCTGTTTTTTTGACGAATGGCTTAATAGTAACACTTCCACCTTTTAATAAAATGTAATAAATCAAAAACCCCCATTGTCCAAAAACATTTTCTTCATGTTTTTGTTTATGTCTCACATCATCACTGATTGTTTGATCTTCACCACTCTTTTTTTTGTGTTGTTTTACTTCCTTGCTGCACATGACATCCATTTATTCAGATAAGTCTTAAAATCCTTATTCATCAAACTTGACGTGGCAATTCTTCTAAGAGATAAATTTTTTACGTTTCATGAATTATTTTAGTAGATATAATTAAAAATGAAGCATCATTAAAAAAACCATTTCTTACAAATTGTTTTTTTATTTAATAAATAATTCTATACTTATAAAAGAAATAATCTTTTATTATATTTCCAAACATCATTTTTCATATAAAATTAGATTATTACTTTTTCTTTTGAAGTTGATTTTTCTCTTTTTTTCCTTTATATTTTAACCTATTAAAGGAAGTAAATAAATTTGCTATTACTCAATCTATTTCATTATAATAAGAAAGAAAATTGTTCATTGTTGTTTTATTTATTTTCTTTTCAAAGTTTAGATAATTCAAATAATTTGAATTTTTTGATAAATAAATTATTTTAAAGTATTGAATAATTCACATAATTTTAAATCTATTTTTTTTTGTGTTATTCATAACTTTTAAATCAGGTTTAATAATTTCAATGTTTTTCTATTAAAAATAATGTTTATCTTTGTATTATATTACCTATTGTGTTTATCATATCTTTCATAAGACATTTTGTATTTTTTTTTTTTGTTTTCCTTCTTATATTAATCTTAACACTCTCAAAAATTTAAAATTAATAAATTGTTATGTGAGAGAATCAGGTAGTGTGAAAATACCAATCCAATCTTTAAGCAGTTAATGTGTCATAATGTTAATTAAAAAAATTTTATCACTAAATGTAAATTGGTTGTAATAAACCATTTTTTTTGAATATGTTGTATCAAAATAATCAACAATTATTACATGTTCTTGTTTGGTAAACTAAAATCTCATAGAAATACCAAAAACATTAGTTTTTATTTCATTGATTATTTAACATTCTGAAATTGATTGAAGAGTTAGACACTTGATAGAATAATATGAATTTCATTTATCATCAATTAACAGTCAATATAAACATAAATACTATCCTAAACAACAGTACTAATCTTACATCAGAAGTAAACTAGACATTTATTCATTTTATTAATTGTAAACAAACATATATCCAGTCATAATAAATTCAGGACTATTCTTCTAGAAATGAAAAAAAATGATAGTAATGTGGAATGATATTCTTCTCACTATTTCAAAATACTTTAGTGATAACAATTTGTTGTTCTTTTATTGGAACTGTTGTTGGAAGACATATCTGAGTTTAATTCCATTAATTAAAATATAACAATCAGATTGATAACTTCTATTGTGAAGTTGAAAGTGACTTAACAAAACCAACTAAAACTAATACTTTATCTTTGAAATTCTGTTGCGTTTTATTCCTTAATTGATCGTATATTACTCACAAATAAATAATAAAAACATAATATTCTTAAGTAAATACTCTCTTAACGAGTTGGTTTTAACATTAGTATGACATATGATAATAAGAGTTTCAATAATACTAACTTGTCTTATTTCATTCATACTATTCAACTTTGAATTTAAAAAAAAAAACAAATAACCGATGATATGACGTTTGTAACAACTGATAAAAATGTTTTGATTTATACTTTTTAGGTAATTTAGTAGGAAGTACTAACATTAAACTATCAATTTTTTTATAGAAATTATTTTTTCCATTCAGTTTAAATCTTATCAGTGGTTTTTCCACATCATAAACCAAGTTATATAAAGTTATTATAGACAAAGAGCCTAATCATCAAAACTAATTGTATAAATATGAGAGTCAAACCTCAGTAATTTTTTTTATGTTCAGTTTTTATTTATTAAACAAGAAAATAAGAAGAACAAATTAATTAAAGAGAAAGAGATATCAGTAATTTGTGAGATAAATAAATCAATAATAAAGCGGATAAAATTGAATAAAGAAGAAGGAAAGGTGAGAAAACAAAAGGAATAAAAATAGCACAAGCGTTATTCATTGAATGAAGAATGATAGATGGGAAAATACCAAGATATTCAGTGAAGATACCGAAAGTATAACCGATAACCATACCATAAGACATTTGGAATAAAACATAAGTAACAGTAAATGAAGAAGTGCCGATATTAACAAAATGAATTAGACCAAACCAAATTCCTGATATGATAAAGAGATAGTTTTTAGATGTTGGAGTATAAGTTTTAATTGTGTTAAGCATACTTCGTCTTAAAGCAATTTCTTCCGTTATAACAGAGAAAAAAAGATTGTCAAGAACAACAGGAATATCTAACTCTCCATCAGTGTAAAAATTACTAAATAAATTAGAAGTGTCAATATGACAATAATATAAAATAACTCGAAGACAGAAAATACTTAAAAACCCCATTCCTGCTTTTATAAGTGTTGAAATCCATTTTCCTTTCAATGTAAAAATTTCTTGAATAAAAGTATTAAGAGTAATAACATTTCCACTCATACTATATCTGTAATACATGAAATTAATAACAACTAATGAACAAATTACTGTTTGGAAAAAATATACTTGAAGACCAAATCCTTTCATTACTATAGCTAAAATGAGATGAATGAAAAAAATTCTAAGCAA